CCTGCTTTGGCAGGCAGATTCTTAACCGCTGTGCCACCAGGGAAGCCCAACAAGGCCAGTATTACTCTGATACTAAAACCAGACAAGGACACAACAAGAAAAGAAAATTACAGGCCAATATATCTAATGAACGTAGACGTAAAAATTTTCAACAAAATAACAGCAAACTGAATTCAACAATTAATTTAAAAGATCGTGGAGACTTCCCTGGTGGTTCAGTGGTTAAGAATCCGCCTTCCAATGCAGGGCACACGGGTTCGATCCCTGGTTGGGGAACTAAGATCCCACGTGCCATGGGGCAACTAAGCCCGCACACCACAACTACTGAGCCCAGCGCCACAACTACAGAGCCCACACGCTCTGAAGCCCACGCGCCACAACTACAGAGTCCATGCACTCTGGAGCCTGCATGCCACAACTAGAGAGAAGCCCGCGCATCGCAATGAAAGATCCCGTGTGCCACAGCCAAGACCCGATGCAACCGAACAATATATAAATAAAATAAATAAGTAAATAAGTAAATAAAAGATCCTGCACGATGATCAGTTGGGATTTATTCCAGGGATGCAAGGCTGGCTCAACCTCCCCAAACCAATCCATGTGACACACATTAACAAAGTAAAAAATAAAAATCATACAATCATCTCAATAAATGCAGAAGAAATGTTTCACAAAATTCAACATCCATTCACGATAAAAACCTCAATAAATTGTGTACAGACAGAAAGTACCACAACATAATAAAAGCCATATATGACAAGCCCAGAGCTAACATCATACTCAATGGTGAAGAGCTAAAAGCTTTCCTCTAAGACCAGGAACAAAGCAAGGATGCCCACTCTCACCATTTTTATTCAACATAGTACTGGAAGTCCTGGCCAGAGCAATTAGACAAGAAAAATAAAAACCACCCAAATCATAAAGAAAGAAGTAAAACAACCTCTATTTGCACATGATATTATATACAGAAAACTCTGTAAGACCCCACCAAAAAAACTGTTAGAATAAACAAAGTCAGTGAGGTTGTAGAATATAAAATCAGTATACAAAAATCGGCTGACTTTTAAATACTCACAAACTATTAAAAATTAAGAAAACAACCACATTTATAATTGTGTCAAAAAGAATAAAATCCTTAGGAATAAATTTAACCAAGGAGGTGAAAGACCTGTACACTGACAACTATAAGACACTGAAGAAAGAAACTGAAAACACAGATAAAGACAGTCCATGCTCGTGGGTTGGAAGAATTAATATTGCTAAAATGTTTACACCCCCCAAAGCCATCTACAAATTTAAAGCAACCCCTATCAAAATCCCACTGGTATTTTTCACAAAAATACAACAATCTTAAAATTTATATGGAACCAAAAAAAAAAACAAAAAACAAACCATGAATAGCCAAAGCAATCCTGAGAAACAAGAACAAAGCTGGAGGCAACATTTCAAACTATATAGAGGCATGATCACAGAGGCATGACTTCAAACTATACTACAAAGCTACAGTAATCAAAACAGTACAGTGTTAACATAAAAATAGACATGTAAGCTAATAAAACAGAATAGAGAGCCCAGAAATAAATTCATGTGTACAGAGCCAGTTAGTTTACAACAAATGAGCCAAGAACATACAATGGGGAAAGGACAGTCTCTTCAATAAATGGTGCTGGGACTGGGAGATTGGGATTGACATATATACACTAATATGTATAAAATGGATAACTAATAAGAACCTGCTGTATAAAAAAATAAAATTCAAAAAAAAAATGGTGTTGGGAAAACTGGACAGCCATATGCAAAACAATGAAACTAGACCACCACCTTACACCATACTCAAGATAAACTCAAATGTATTACAGGTTTCAAAGACCTGAAAGCATAAAACTCCTTCATAGAAGAAAACATAAAGGTAAGCTCCTTGACATGGGTCTTGGAGATGACTTTTTGGATTGACACCAAAAGCAAAGGTAACAAAAGCAAAAATAAACAAATGGGCCTATGTCAAACTAAAAAGCTTCTGCACAGCAAAGGAAACCACCAACAAAATGAAAAGGCAACGTACTGAATAGGAAAAACAGTTTGCCAATCATGTATCTGATAAGGGGTTAATAATCAAAATATGTAAAGAACTCATACAACACTATAATAAGAGCACAAATAATCTGATTTTAAAAATGAGCAGAGGAGCTGAAGAGACCTCTTCCCAAAGAAGGCATAGATAACCAACAGGTGCGTGGAAAGGTGCGCAACATCACTAATCATCAGAGAAATGCAAATTAAAACCACAATGAGATATCACTCCCACCTGTCAGAATGGCCATCACCAAAAAGTCAAGTAATAACAAGTGTCGGTGAGGGTGTGGAGAAAAGTGAACCCTTGCGCACTGTTGATGGGAATGTAAATTGGTGCAGCCACTATGGAAACAGTATAGAGGTTCCTCAGAAAGTTAAAAACAGAACTACTACACGGTCCAGCAATTCCAGTGCTGGGTGTTTATCCTAAGGAAATGAAAACACTAACTTGAAAAGATATATGCACCCCTGTGCTCACTGCAGCATTATTTATAACTGCCAAGGTATGGGAACAACCAAAGTGTCCACCAACGGGTAAATGTTTAAAGAAACTGTGGTACATATACACAAAGGAATATTTACTCAGCCACGAAAAGGTGAGAAAATTCTGCCATTTCCAACAACATGGATGGACCTTAATGGCATTACACCAAGTGAAGTAAGTCAGATGGAGGAAGATGAATACCATATGATCTTACTAATACGTAGAATCTAAAGAAAGAAAAAATCCTGAACTAACAGTTACAGAAAACATATTAGTGGTTGCCAGAGAAGGGGAGTGGGGTGGTGAGTGAAAGATCATGAAGTGGTCAGAAGGTACCGACTTCCAGTTATAAGTCCTGGCATGTGCTACACAGTACGGTAACTACAGATACTTCAGCACAATACTGCGTTGTATATTTGAAAATTGCTGAGATCTTAAAAGTAGATCCTAAAAGTTCTCATCTTAAGAGAACTTAGAAGGGAAAACAACTTCTAAGTACAAGTGGTGATGGATGTTACCTAGTACACCTGAAACCAATATCATGTTATGTGCCAATTATACCTCAAAAAATTCCCCCCCCAACAAATAATAATAAAAAAGAAAGTATGAGTAAATAAATAAATGCCTCCACAGCTATGGCACTTCATAAACTAAGCTGGAAACTTCATTCCTCTTCACATCACCCTCCTGCGACCAGAACTGAAAGAGCACGTCCATGCTCTGCTTCTCCGGGGGTCTCCGGTCTGCAAGTGCAGATGACGCCACCTCCCTCTCTGCCCCGGGGGAGGACTACATGAGAGAAGCGTGAAGTCCTTCTCGAGGGGGCAAAGGCATTACACGAAGGCAAAGTGCATATTAACGCCCATACCGCCTGCCAGGAGGGGGCCCCGGCACTCCTACACTTAACCCTCTTAAACCCTCTTAGTTCTGTTTTAACGAAGAGGAAGCTGAGGCCCAGACCAGATGAAGCCATTATCCGAAGAGCACAGGGCAAAACCACGACTGAAACCCAGGCCTGCCCGACAGACGGCAGGACTTGAGCACTAATTACTCAGGGAGCTCAGAGTCGGCGCCGAAGGGACAGCTGTCTTGCGAAACATCACCCAGCGCAGCTGCGGCGTCCGCCGCGGAGACCGCCTCGCTCCCTCCAGGCGGGGAGGCCTAGTCCGCTTTCTGAGGAGCCAAGGCACCCTGGGCCAGGTTGTCGCGGGGGGCGGGGGCGAGCGGGTGGTCTCGGGGGGCCGGGGAGTCACGGCGGGCCGGTGCTCCCCGGGGGCCGGGTGGTCGCGGAGAGACGGGTGTTCATGGGGGGCTGGGTAGTCACCGGGAGCCGGGGCGGGGGGTCGCGGGGGCACTCAGCGGTCACGAGGGGCCCCCGCCCGCCGCCCCTCGAGCCCGGACGGCAGGACCCACCTGCCTCGTCGGCGCCGTCCTCGCCCGCGTCCGCGCAGGCCCGCGTCGGGCCCCAGCCCAGCCGCGCAGCCACCAAAGCCGCCGCCTCGGCCACGTCGGGACCGCTGCGGGACGGGCGGCCCCGGGGCCGGCCGCCGCCACAGCTGCCGCCACCGGAGCTCCCGCGCTGCCCGGACACCCCGGGCGACAGGAAGCGCCCGAGCCGGTCCCGCTTCATCGCTGTGGCGGCGGCTTGAGCTCGGCCCCGGAGCTCCGCCCCGTCCGATTCCGTTCGGCCCCGCTCGGCTCCGCCCGGCCCCGCCCGGCCCTGCTCGGCCCGGCGCTCCGCCCCGTTCCTCCTCGCTCGGCCCCGCTCGGCCCCGCTCGGCCCCGCTCGGTTAGCCGGGCCAAGAGGCAGGGCTAGGTGTTGCTCTGCCCGGAGCCTCTCGTCCGCTAGGTTGGACTGTGCTCGCTCGTTCAGTTCGACTCCGCCGTTCGGCTCCGCAGGACTCACTGGCAGCGGGGCGGGGCGATGAGGGAGGGGCGGGGCGAGTGATGGGGGCGAGGAGGGTGAGGAAACAGGGATTGGACGGATTGACAGCGGGAGGGGAGTGGCGAGGAAAGGGAGGAGGGGATGGGAGAAGCGTAGCGAGGAGGGGCGGGGCAATGAGGGGAGGAGCGGACTGAGGAGGGGAGGGGCGGAGTGAGGAGGGCAGGGCAGCACGGCACGACGAGGGCAAGGGGCGGGGGCGTACGCGGTTGACCTGTCACCGACAAGGAGTGATGGCATCGGTAGTTGCACTTACACTGTCGTGGCAACTGCGGGAGGAGGTTATTTGAGAGTTCCGTCCCCCCCACCTCCGCCCCTTCGGCTCCAGGAGCGGAGCGCGCCGCGCGTCGGGAGGCAGGGCTGCCGGAAGTGGCCTCACGTCGGTACCGCCTTTTCCGGCGGTCCGGGGCTCGGGCGGCACCTGCGCCCGCGCACGCCGCGTTCCGGTATCCGGGCCGCCCGCCCCGCCCCTCGGCCGCCACGGCCTACCCCGCCGGCGCCATGGCCGCTGCGGTCGGGGACGGCGCGGTGAAACCGCTTCAATGCGCCATGAAGCTGGCCAACGGGGCCATCGAGCTGGACACCGGCAACCGGCCCCGGGTGAGGCGGGCGGGGCGAGGCGGGGGCGGTAGCCGACCCGCGGCCAGCCCGGTGGGCGTGGGCGAGGGCGGGGCTGCGGGGTGGGCGCCTCCAGGCCTCTCCGAAGGCTCCGGGGCGCGGGCTCGGGCTTCGGCCGTGACCTTGGACAGCTCCCGCGGACTCCAGCCCTCAGTTTTCCCGTCTGTTCATTAAGTCGGGAATATGAGAAGAGGTGTTTTCATTTGTGAAGGGGACTCAGGAGGGTCCGTGAAGCAGCCCTCCAAAGTGTATCTGGCAGACAATCCCGTGCGTTTGTCTAGTTTGGGGGCGGGCCCTGTAGCTTTAGTCAGATTCCCGAAGGGGACGGTATCCGTAAGAGGTTAGCTGCGGCTTTCCAGTCGCCTTCAGCGCTTGTTTGGAAGGAAATGCCGGCGGGGGAGGGGTGTGGCTTGTCTCCAAGAACTGGTGTTAATCCTAAGGGTGGCGACCGCATGGAAAAGCCGGCTGAGTCACACCGGGCCGCCCAAGGAGGGGAGGAGGCCGCGGGTGCCTCCGAAAGGCATTCCGGTCTTCCATCCGCTGCCTTCCCCAAGTCGGGATCCTAGGGCAGCAAATGCCCCCACAAGTCAGAAATCCTTCCCGGAACCGATTTTATCCTTATCTGAGGTGTAGACTTAAAGGTGGGTAATTTGAGAACTGGGATGCAGCAAAACAAACAAAAAGCAAAGCACCATGCTATGGTTCCAAACGCCCTGAGCTCTATCAGGGAGCCCTGAACAGGATGGCAGGGTCACCCTTTTGAAAATACTGACATTCTAGTGTCAGACTGCTGCGTGCCCAGGGAATACTTACTCTGGGGTTCGGGAAAGAATTTCCCAGAATCCGAGTCAGAAAGTCATTCTGAGATTTACAACACACTCCCTGATTCACCTTCCAAGAAATATTTTTCTAAAGCCACTGAGTGAATGGCCCCTGAGTTACACAGGCAGAGAACTTGTTGCATAGAGTGGAAAATGGCAGCACCTGCCAAGGCTCCTTACCCTGGCCCACTGACAGAGAACCTCCGTTCCTTCCTGTACTGGAGAGAAAGGCAGTGATGCCAGCTTCAAGTCTAGAGAAGAGGGGTACTCTCCATGCCCCAGCAGAGCAGTTACCAGTGAAGCGGCTCGGCCACTGCAGGTGTATCTCACAGATAAGCAGGCACCACTGTTCCTGTGTTTCCACAAGGGCACCGAGCAGGCATGATGGAATTATGCGCCTCTACTGGCCTGACCGCTGCCATTTCTTTTCCCTGGGCGCAGGAGGCATATACAGAATACCTGAGGAGCGTCCACTACATCTCCCAGGTGCTGCTAGAAGAAGTGGAGACCTCCAAAGGTACAGCTCCTCCCAGGCCGGGCAGACCGTGGACAGCTTAGCCTTTGATGGGGCCCAGGGCCCCAGGCCTGGGGGTGTCCTGTGTCTTGCCTGCCGGGCCATTAGTCGAAGGTGGACGGCTGAGCGCTCAGTAAGCATGAGCGCAGCAGGGAGCAGGAAGGGCCGGCTGCCGTGACTGAGGGGATGGAGATGGGCTGGGACGTGACCAGAGACTGGACGCTGAACCTCAGTCCAGGGACGAGTGAGCTGCACGATGGTTGAGGGCTGGGGGCAGCATCCCAGCAGAGGGCGCTGCAAAGGCCCTGAGGGAGAGGGTTCCGGACACAAGAAGGGTAGGCAGGCTGGAGAGGGGAAGGTGCAGTTGGGGCCGGCCGGCCCTTGGGATGGGCCTGGGGTTGTTCTGGCACGAGGTGAAGCTCGTGGAGGCTTTGTGGGGAGCGGCCGGCATGGGAGCAGATCCTCCAGGAGGCTCCCACAGTGAGGACAGCAGTGGTGGGACTGCCTGGAGGTGGAAGGAGTGAAGGGCTTGGGGCATGTCCTCTAAAGATGGGCCTCACCAGACATTCTAAGCGGACAGTGAGCTGCCCGGAGTTGGGGGGGAGGGCCAGGGAGCACAGGAGGCAGTGCGGGAGGTGGCAGGAGCAGACATGAGGGAGGAATTGAGGTCTCTGTCAGGAGCACATTCTGCTCGAGGTGTCCAGCACCCCGACAGTAGTCAGGGAGAGGTGGGAGTCTCCACCCTGGGGAGCTAGGGAGCTCAGCAGAGCTCTGGGCACTGGGAGGAGGGCACGGTGGGAGCAGCCGCGAGGGGTTGTCCTAGAGGAGAGACCTGCGAGGTCAGGGAGCCCTCAGAGAAGGGCAGGACTGAGTGGGTGAGGGCCACTGCAATGGGAGCAATGTGGCTGAACGAGGGTGTGGTGAGGGTCTGGCCGTCATGGGAGCGGGGGTGGATCAGGTCTGGTGGGGTCCAGGGGAGAGTGTCAGGTGGCAGCTCCTACACCATGAGTTTGCTGATAGGAGCGATTCCCAGAGGGAGTGCAGAACAGAAGTCCTCTAGCTGCACCAGGGGTGAGCTTGGACACAGCCAGGGGGCGGGAGATGGGTTTTGAAACTGTTTCTGTGAAACAGCCGTGCTGACTGCAGGGCCCACCTGGAGGAGGGGCTGTAACTAAAGTGAAGCCGCCAGTGAGGAGAAAAGGCCCAGTTAGTTATAGAGAAGGCTCTGATGGTCCAGGCGAGAGGACAGGACAGCCACACACAGGGCCAGGAGGTAAACCCAGGGCAGATGGTCAGAGATGAGGAGGAAGTGGGCTCTCCTTTGTTTCTATCCCAGCAAGAATCTGACTAGTGATAGAGGTGATGGTGACCACCCTTCTTGTCGCTTGCTCCCCAGAAGCTGGGGAGACTGTGACCCCTGACACCTCGAAGATGCTGAAGCTGGCTGAGCAGTGTCTGGAGAGGGCCCAGTCGACAGCTGCCAAACTTGGTGGGTGTCCGGCAGAAAGCTTTCTTAGGACATCCCCACCCCCCAAGTCTGCATCTCTTTTTTTTTTTAATTAATTAATTAATTTTTTGGCCACGTTGGGTCTTCATTGCTGTGCACACGCTTTCTCTAGTTGCAGTGGGTGGGTGCTACTCTTCGTTGCAGTGCGCGGACTTCTCATTGCAGTGGCTTCTCTTTGTTGCGGAGCACAGACTCTAGGCACACAGGCTCAGTAGTTGTGGCTCGCGGGCCTTAGAGCGCAGGCTCAGTAGTCGTGGCACATGGGTTTAGTTGCTCCACAGCACATGGGATCTTCCCGGACCAGGGCTCAAACCCGTGTCCCCTGCATTGGCAGGCGGATTCTTAACCACTGAGCCACCAGGGAAGTCCCAAGTCTGCATCTCCTTTGTGGAATGTCAGGCCCCCGTGCAGACCCTTGGCTACGTATGTCTTACAGGGAAAACATGCCTGAGGCCAGCCATGCCTGTGGCTGCCCCCGTCCCCTCTCCTACCAGCCGACACCGCCGGGTGTACTCAGATGAGGGAGGGAAGCTCTCTCCATTTCTGCCGCCTGAGATCTTCCAGAAGCTTCAGGCTGTAGAGTCACAAAGCTCTAAGAAGTAAGATGGGTCAGAACAGAAGGTGGGCTAAGCCTGGGTTTAGAGGCAAAGTGAGCTAACCATGGTGGATTTAGTCAGAAGGGATCCCAGAATGGAAATACCTGGTGCGTGGCAGAAACAAATGCAAATTGTCTCTGGAGCAAAGCACCTTCAACTTTCATAAAATGAGTGGTACGTAGTCAAAGATAACCAAGCACAGAAAGAATCAAGAAACTGTAAATGAGAGGTAGCAGAAACAGACCTGCAAAGTCTTCAGATAGAGTTATGAGACACAGATTATAATACAAACACGCTTTCTGTATTTAGAGAAATAAAAAGCAAGTTTGAAAATACCTGCAGGGAACAAGAAGCTATAAAATCTGACTTATAATAGGGGTCAAATAGAATTTATAATAGGGGTCAAATAAGAACCAAGTAGAAACAAAAATACTGAAATTATTTTTAAACACTAACCAGAAACGACAACAAATTATATCCTCCTGTAAACATACACACATGCACACAAAAAGAAGGGGACAAGTTTAAAACAGCAGAGTAGACCCAGCTGAAGACAGAATTAGAGAATTGGATAAAAGGTTAAAAGATACCCTGCATGGCTCACACACACACAAAGACATGGAAAGTCTAAGGGGTTATTGGAATTCCAAAGAAAGATGAGAAAGAAAATGCGAGAGGAGCGTTACTTGAGGAGATGAAAGCAATTTTCTAGAACTGGTGAAAGACACTGAGACACAGATGCCAGAATCCCAGCAGGATAAGCAAGAGGATGGGCTCTTCCTGCTGCTGCTGCCAGGCCTTGAGCCACAGCTACACCCTGTCTCTCCAAATGCAGTTCTGGGGCAGGGCCAGGCACCAGACTTCCATCTCAGTATAGTGTTGTGTCCCCACGACTTACCTCCTCCCACCCATGAAAGCAGGAAGACGTGGGACCATAAGTTTTGATGGTGAGGGGGCTGTTGGTGGCTGTTACCAAGTAGCTGTGAAACACCCCCCACCCCTACCCCTCTTTCATGGGTTGCAAACTAATCTAGCTGTTTGGCTCACGTGGTGCCTTCACAGAGTTTCATGCTGTTAATAAACACATGTGACTGGTGTGCATAAAGGTCTGGAATCCAGGCAGTAGGGCCATGTTTCAGGGAGGCAGGTGTCTCCCGCCCACCCCAGACCTCCTCCCTCCTTTACATTCCTGCCTGCCCCCATCACCACCTCCTCACCTTCCGGTCTCAGGGCGGGGCCAGGAAGGGACCTCAGGTGACCAGAGCGTTCCTGGGCTTCCTGGAGCCTGGACAGCAGCTTGTCACCATTCCAGGGAGCTGACACCCCTGGAGGAGGCCTCCCTGCAGAATCAGAAGCTGAAGGCTGCCTATGAGGCCCGGATGGCCCGTCTGGACCCCAGCCAGGCCATGCAGAAGACATCCCTGGTGAGCGGGGTCCAGGAGGGTCTGGAGTGAGGCCGGTGGGGGCAGTAGGCCTTATTCCATCCTTCCCGTCCTAGACCCTGTCCCTGCAGCGGCAGATGATGGAGAACCTGGTGATCGCTAAAGCCCGGGAGAAGACAGTATCCTTTCTGTCCATCCTTAGTGTGCAGAGGCTTCAGCTGAGGGAGGGGACAGGGAAGTAAAGATGCCAGGGTTCAGGTGTGGAAACAGAGTTCCTCCAGTTTCAGAGACACTTGTCCTCAGTGGGTGGTTCCCGCCCAGCCCCGCTTCCTCTCGCCTCCCGGCCTTTGCACAGGCCACCCTGCCCCTCCCAGCACCCACAGACTCCTCTCCACCCCTCAGGTCGACTAGGACTTGCCTTCCCTCCCTGAGCGGGCCTGTCCTCTGGCCCAGCCCCTCCTCCCACCCATCCCAACGGGCCCCGTGTCCGGCAGGGCGCTGGGACGCCGGGGGGTTCGTGCACGCCGCGTTAGAAGGGCCTTGACTCTGCCGCCCCAGCTGCAGAGGAAGATGGAGGAGCGCCGGCTGCGACTCCAGGAGGCCGCCAACAGGTGCGTCTCCGCCTTCGGTCCCGGGACTCCTGGGGGGGCCAGGTAGGGACTCCCGCTCCCGCCTGTCCAGCCCTGAGGCCCCCAGACCTGTCCTTTCTCCCAGGAGGTTCTGCAGCCAGGTTGCCCTGACCCCCGAGGACCGGGAGCAGCGGGCCCTCTACGCCGCCATCCTCGAGTACGAGCAAGACCACGTGAGTGCGCGGGGCGGGGAGTCCGCAGGGAGGTCTGGGCCCCTGCGCACGGCCTTGGCTTGGGGGAGGGCCTTCCCGCGGGCTCTCCCCCAAGGTTTCCTGTCCTGCAGGACTGGCCAAAGCGCTGGAAGGCCAAGCTCAAGAGGAGCCCAGGGGACCTGTCCCTGGTGACCAGCCTGGTCTCCCACCTGCTCAGGTACCGGACGTCGGCCCCTCCCCTGGCTGCAGGCTGATGGTGGAGGAAAGGATTAAGAAGGAGAGAGGAGCGAGGCAGTCTGGGGTGACCGCACGGGCAGCAGGCCACGCTGGCTCTCTCGGAGGCCCCCGCCTGTGACCCCGGGGTCTCCTGTCCGCGGATGGCCTTTCACGGGCCTCCTGGCTTCTCAGAGGGGCGGGACAGGCCTTACCAGCAACATTCAGCCGGGAGGACTAGTCCATGCGTCCCTTCTCTGAAATCCCTCACGGCAGGGCCACGTGGCCGTTGGGTGGGGGTCGGGTAAGGGCCTCGCAGGGCTGGCGGGCCTTCTCAGCCCCCGGGTCACCCAGTGAGGGGACTGCAGCCCCAGCCCGACGGGGCTGCCTTCACACACTGCTTCTCCCCCTACTCACAGCGTCCCCGACCACCCCATCTCACAGCTCCTGAAGAAGCTCCAGTGCGCTGTGTACCGGGCGCTGTACCCCATCGTGAGCAGGGGCGCTGCCTCGGCCCTGGGCTGCCGTTCCCTGCCCCCCGACGCCGACGGGCTGCTGGCTCCTGGAAGCCGGCGGCTCCGGCCCTCTCAGAGCCTCTACTGCATGCCCTCCCCCCCCGAGCCCAGCCCAGCCCAAAGGCCCACAGACGGCGCCTCCGCCAGCGCCCCCATCCCCCCACCCCACCCCGGCAACCCGGACAGAGGGGCAGACGGCAGCCCCACGGGGCCTCCCTCACCCCTGGCGGACACTTCATCCGACCTGCCGGGCAACGACAGCTCCTTCGGGGACCTGGAACAGTTCTTGGCTACTCCTGAGAGAAGGGGCCGGGGCCCTGGGGGGCAGCCTGAGCCCCAGCCCCCAGGGGTGAGGAAGGAGCCGTTGCTGGAGCAGCTGAAGGGCACCGTGCAGGACATACACGACGCCATCGGTGAGGTCCGCGCCACAGGCCTGGTGGGTAGTGGGGGAACTGCGCTGTCCGAAGCCCACGTCCTCGGAAAGCTTGTCAGAGGCCTGGGATGGGCCCGGTCCAGCGGAGCCTTCCTGTGGGTGGCATCCAGGCCGGCCCTGCTCTGCAGAGCCCTCCCCTGGGGCCACGTGTCCAGTTCAGCAGAGAGGCACACACCCTGCCCCAGAGAGCAGCTGGGGCTGGCAGTGGCCAGGGCCTCCCTCCATCCCTGGCTGTCTCCTCACGGGGCCACATAGGGAGGACAGCCGGGTCCATTTCAGTCTTGGGTTTGGGGGAGGGTCTGCCGTCAGGGCCTCTGGCTGCCAGGTGGTCCTAGCTGCCCCATTAGGTCCGACCCCCACCCTTCCAAACCCAGGGCTCTAGGTCTGTGCGGCCAGGTGGTGGCTCATCTTAGGTTTTTCCATTTTGAGAAGCGAGTGTGTGTTCCGTAAGGAGCCCAGGGTGGCAGGGGACTTCACGTCCCTTCCAAGGAGGAAGGCTGTGAGGGTTTCCTGAGAACCAGCGAGAGGCCCAGCAGTCAGGGGCCTGTGTTGTCTGGGAGACTCTGGGTGAGCACCCCTTCCTCCCTGGTGGGGGGCGGGTTCCTTCATCTCCCTGGACCTCAGATTTCTTGTCTTCAGATATGCTTCTGACGTTCCTCTGGGTGCCCCAGTTTGGGGTACAGACCCTTTTCAGAAAGAAGCTGTCTTAGGCCCTCCCTTCCAGGCTTGTTTCCTTGGCCCCCTGGCGGAGCTGCATATGACCCTGTGACCCCCTAGGGATGAGGGCCCTGACTCCCTGCACCGACCTGGGCCGTAGCGTTCAGAAGTGGGGGGAGGCAGGGCCAGGCAGAGCCCCTCCTGCTGAGCCGGGAAGCTACCTGGGGCTCTGCCCATCCCAAGCTGGCTCTGGGGCGGCAGGGAGGGGCAGGCAGGTGGGGACCCTGCCTGGGCACCCCAGGTTGGCTGCGGGTGGGAGAGGCCTCCAGGGGCTGCCAGCGGGGCTAGAGGTCCCAGCTGTCCCCACAGTGCCTCTGTACCGGCTCTGCTCCCGGCAGACAGGCTGCTCTCGCTGACCCTCCTGGCTTTTGAAGGCCTGAACACGGCCGCCTCCAAAGACCGCTGCTTGGCCTGCATCGAGGAGCCCTTCTTCTCCCCGCTGTGGCCCCTGCTGCTGGCCGTGTACAGGTACGGCCCCGCCGCGTGTGCGTCCCTCAGCTGCCTTCCTCCCAGGTCCCCTCAGGTGTTGCGCGTGTGCAGGCGGTGCCACGCGCACCCTCCCACGGCTCGGGGCGTGGCCAGCTTTCCCCAGCGCCGCCCCTGTCCCCTCCCGGGCGGGGCCCTGGGCCGCTGAGCCTGGCCCCTCTCTGCCCCAGGAGCGTTCACCGCCTGCGGGAGGCCGCCCTGAGCAGGAGCATGGAGCTGTACGGGAACGCGCCCCCGGCGGCCGTCGGCGTCCCCACCAAGCTCCTCCCCCGGGACCCCGAGGCCACGGCGGGCGGCGCCTACCCCTACTGTGCTGCCGCCCAGGAGCTAGGGCTGCTGGTCCTGGAGAGCTGCCCCCAGAAGAAGCTGGAGTGCATTGGTGAGGGGGGACGGTTTGGTTGGAGGGAAGGGAGAAGGGAGTCAGATGAGACAGAGTCGAGTCCCGTCCCGGAGGGCGACTGGAGTCTGCGCCTTCAGCCCTCAGCGGCAGGCCCTTCTCCAGTCCGGGGGGTGTGTGTCCCGTGGGACATGAGTGGTGGTGGTCCAGGCTCTGCCCAGCCCTGCACGCGATGGGGGTGGGGCGGCGCCCGGGGCCGTACCGGGACGAGGTCCCCAGCCCCTCACCCGAAGCCTGGCTTCTGCGACGCAGTGCGGGCCCTGCGGGTCACCTGTGCCTGCGCGGAGGACTACTCCCGGGCTCGCGAGGCTGCGCCCCAGCCGGGCATCGCCGCCATGTGAGTCCCAGGAGGCCACGGCCTGTGGTGGGAACTGGGCGGGAGGGGCTGCCTCAGAGGCCAGGGGAGCGGGAACCCTGCCACCCAGGCCCCGGCCCCGGCGCCTCGGGTTCCCACCCGGCGCCTGGCCCTGCTTCTCCTTGAGGAGAGTGCGGCCCATTTCCACCAAAGGCCCCGGGCTCCAGCCCTGCTGACGACGCGGTCCGGCCCCTCGCTAACCCGGTGGCGTGTGCCCCCCCTCAGGTGCATGCTTGGGGAAGCCGCCCCGGTCCTGTCCTGGGGAAGAGCCCGTCCCCTGTGCTGAGCCCCAGCCTGGGGTTCCTGCACTGCCCCTGCCCCAGCCTCCTGAGGTGGGCAGGGGTCTTCCCCACCTGGGTTCTGCCTTATCTCACCTGCACCAGCCTGTAGCCAGCAGCCTGCCCTGGCCCTGGCGCCCACCTGGGGCTGGCGACCCTCACCCTGTGCCAGAGACCGGGGTCGCCCTGAAAGCACCTGTCCTTGCAGCCAGCTGGGTGGGCTGCGGGGTCAGGCCGGGGGACCCACCTGGCTCTCACCGGCCACCATCACTATTGTACCACCTGGTCTCCGAAAAAGTTGCAGCAGGTGAAGGGGCCCCAGAACTGAAAGCATTTCCGAGTCCCAGCTGCAACCCCGCGCTAGCGCTCTCTCTCTCCTCAGGACATCCAAGGAGCTGGGGGGGGGGGGGGCGGCGCTGTGTGTCCCTGCAGGTGTGTGGCACCCAGGGAGGTGGGGGCAGGAGTCCCTGGTTGGTCATCAGGTTCAAACCAGTATGCTTCCGTGCTCCTCGCCAAAAGTACTGGCCCGTGGGCCCTTCGCCAGGGTTTTGAGCATCCCTCAGGGCCTCCCTCCCTCACTTAGGTGCCTCTTGCGGAGGGTCTGGGGTACCTGGAGTGGCACGTGAGTGACCCTGATCCCAGGAGTGAGCAGGCTGCCTGGGACACGGGCTGTCCTCTCCGTCCTCCCGTCCCCGGGCTCGGGCCAGCTCACGGGAGAGCTTCACTGTGGGGCCTCCCTGGTCCAGCCCTGGGCTCTGCGGCACAGGGTCCCCGTTCAGGATGGCCTCAGCGATCCCAGGTGGTCTTTTGTCACGCTGACCCAAGCCCACCCCCAGCCCCCTGAGGCCGGTGGGCAGGAGAGGCACGGGGACAGCATCCAGCAAGCCCAAAGCTGCTCCAGGGACCTAGCTGGGAGGCTTCAGGGCTGTGGGGACTGAGCAGCGCCCCCGGTCCCTGGAGCCTCCTGGCCGGCTCTGCGTCTCCCCAACAGTGGCGCCGACGACCTGCTGCCCATCCTGTCCTTTGTGGCGCTGAGGAGTGGCCTCCCCCAGCTGGTGTCGGAGTGTGCAGCCCTGGAGGAGTTCATCCACGAGAGGTGGGAGCCTCGGGCCAGCGTGGGGGCTGAGCTCGTGCTCCCACCCATGCACGGGGCCCACGGCCCCTCTCCCTGCCCCTCACCCAGCACACTGCCCAGAGGAGCCAGGGGGCCATCCCCTGAGCAGCGTCTGCCTGGGGAGTGGGCCGTCCCCCAGCCCAGCGCCCTGACAGCCCGTGGGCCCTCAGCATCCAGGTTCTGCCCCGCAAGGGCAGGTGCCCCTTCCAGAACGTCGGGGTCTCCTTGCATCCCTCCAGTGACAGACGCTTGTGCCACCGCCGTGCAGGTACCTGATCGGAGAGGAGGGTTACTGCCTGACGTCACTGCAGAGCGCCCTGAGCTACGTGGAGCTGCTGCCCCGGCGGGCCCTGGGCAAGTAGCAGAGGACGGGCTGGCCAAGGACTGGCCCAGAGGCACCTGCATGGGGCGGTGGGCTGGCCGAGGTGGGGCTCTCGCCCCCGCCTGACATCAGCCCCTAGGGCTCAAGGAGGCCCCTCTGCTCCGGATAGGATGGGGCTGACCCGAGTCAGCTCCCAGGAACCAGGCCCTTCTCTTTCCTGTCCCCACCTGTGAGAGGCCCCGTGCAGGGAAACTGGGCGCCCCTGGGGCCTGCACACTCCAACGGCTCAGTCCGCTGACACCCTGCAGGCCCCGCAAGCCCAAGGACAGAGGGGCCATGGGCCTGACCGAGGGCAGGTCTGCTTCTCTCCCTTCCCGTCCCCCGTGACACGCGGAGCTCCCTGAACCAGGTTCTTGTCTGAGTCGAGAAGAGAGCCTGTCACCCCACAAGAGGCCTGGGGCCCAGGGGGGTTTAGACTGTGCTGTTTATTGGTCACTGATCACTCTGTCCTGAAGACCCAGGTGTCCCCAGGGCACCTGCCCATGTGTGGGAGCTCTGAGCCACACTCCCACCCTTGGCAATGGGCACGGACATCCTGAGACCGCTGGCGAATCCCCACGCCCACTCGGCCACTTCAGGGTCGGTGTGAACCCAAGGGTCGGCGCCTGCCAGGAGCCCCACCACCTGCCCACCCTGACTGTTACAGGCCCCTGGGCAACCACTGACCCAGCTGGAAATAAAGAGGTCACTGGTGTCTCCGTCAGCACGGCTCACCTGCTCCCCGTCCCACTGGCCGGGCGGAGGCCTGGGCAGCACAGCCACTCCCAGCCAACCAGCCAGAGCCAGAGGGTCCCAGAGGCCCCTGGGGCCATCGCCAAGCCCAGCCCACCTCCCAGACCTCTGCCCAGGAGTGGGATCCGTGGGGCTGCTCCTTCTAGCACTGGACACACTCTGGGGGGCCTAGCAGGTTGGCAGGGTCAGAGGTCATCACTAGGCAGGATCTGAGCCCGGACCACTCCTCCCGAAGGGTTCCCAGGAGTCATGTTGTTCTCCAGGTGGGGAACACATGCAGGTGGCCCGGCCCCAGCCCCAGGCAGCATCTGTCACCATGGCAGAAAGTGGTGTGGGAGCAGCGTGTGGGTCCCTGGGGAAGGCCCAGCTGGACCTGACTGTGTGTTCTGTGCACGCAGTGTCCCAAGGCTGTGCGGGAACCTCATGAGGAAAGTGAGGCACAGAAGGGGAAACGCCTTCTCCAGGCCACAGCTCCCGGTGGCAGAGCTCTCTTCGAGCCCAGCACGTTGACTCCGGAGGCCAGAGGGGGCCGGGGACGTGACCCCAAGGGAAGGCCAACCCGAGTTCCGGGGGCAGCTGCCTCTTTCGGGAGCCTTTGTGGGCAGGGATCCCCTGCCCACCAGCACCCCAGGAACGACAGGCAGGCACCCGCCTGCTCACCCTGCCCTGCCCTCAAAGCTCTCAGTCCCTGAGTCCCTGCCCTCTCCAAAGGAAGCCCCCCAGTCCTGGACACGAGGCCCAGCCAGCCATGAAGCCTGGGGAGGATGACCCCCTGCTCCAGGCCTTGGCAGTCTCAAGGATGGGATTTTAAGCCCCTTTTCATAGAGCAGGTGGACGATGGAGCGAAGCCTGACCGTGGGCGCTCCTGCTGGCTTTGGGGAGCTCTCTGGAGGCGCTGATCAGACGGCCTTCCTGCTGCTGGCTCTGGGCCAGTCCTTCAGCCTCTCCCAGCCTACAGCCTTTCGTAAGACGGTGAGTGATGGATTCTTCACACAGAAAATCCTCCAGATCAACACGAAAAAAGCAGGAGCCCCAGTCAGGAAAATAGCAAAGGCTGTGAACAGGCTGTCTTCAGAAGAACTTTAAAAAGCTCATCAGCATAAGAAGAGGTGTTTAAAGTCATTTTTAAAATCAAGAAATGCAAATTAAAACACTTACAAGACAGACCTTCCCTTGCGCTGAACTGGTGAAGATGAGAAAGCTGGATGAGGAGGAGAGGGGTGTTGCCTGGGAGACTGGACTCAGCCGCGCAGTGTGCTGGGCGGTGGTCCAGGGAGCTGCGGTCCTGGCCAAGGTAGGTATTAACTGACCCTGCCACCCATCTGCTCCGCCCGGCTATAGCCCAGGGTCACAGAAGGACCCCTACGCAGCTGGCGCTGAGGCAGTGTGGCATCCGCCCCCCTGCTGTGTAACAAGCCAGCCCACTCACTGGCTTAAACATGCGACAGCCATTTGCTTTGCTTGTGAAACTCCCACCTCGGCAGGGTTCAGTGGGGACATCTTGTCTCTGCCCCACCTGCAGCATCAGCTAAGTCAGCTTCCAAGTTGGGGTGACCCAAGATCGAGGGGTTGGAGTCATCTGGAGATTGGTCTACACGTCTGCTATCAGCGAGGGCCTCGGCTGTGGGAACAGCCGTGGCGTGGGAGGCCTGCATTCGTTTCCTGTAACTAGCTACTGGGGAGCTTAAAACAACAAAAATTTACTCCCAAAGTCCTGAAGTCTGAAGTCAAGGCGTCCACAGGGCCGTGGCCCAGCAGAGTGCTAGACGAGAACCCTTTCCTGCCTCGTCCAGCTCCGGGGGCTTCTGCAGTCTCTGCCTGTAGCTGCAAGCCTCTGCATCCATCATATGCCTCCTCCCGAAGTACGTAACCTTGCTCCTTACAAAGACGTCATTCTGACAGGGGTTAGGGTCCACCCTAATCCAGTCTGACTTAGTCTTAACTTGATTATAGCTCCAAAGATCCTATTTCCAAATATGTTCACATTCCCGGGTTCCATGGAGTTTGGACATTATTCAGCCTTCATTATTCGGCCCCTTCATGCAGCTGCTTTCCTCCCAGTATGTGGCTAGGTCCCAAGATTGAGCGTCTCAAGACAGCAAGGCAGTTTTATGACTTAATCTGGAAAGCCATGCAACGTCACTTCCATTCAACGGGTCTTCTATGGGACTACTCCTCTAAGGGAGGACGGTGCAAAGACCTGCTCAGGTTCGAGTGGCACACTGAGACAGAGCCATGCTCCCTGGAGTAGCACACAACAGTTAACAGCAAACACCTGGGGCCACGCAAACAGCACTCAGAGCAGGAGCGGAGAAGCAGGGCTGGATACAGAGCAGAACGTCGGATCCGGTGCCTGGAAGCGACTCTGACCTAGGCAGAAAAGCGCCTTCACGCCGCCTCAAAGAGGCCCGGGTTGCTGATTTGTTGGGGTTTTTTGGTGGGGGGAGGAGGGTGCGGCGCCCCCAGCAGTGGGAGCGCGGAGTCCTAACGACTGGACCGCCAGGAAAGTCTCCTGAGGTTGCAGTTTTAAATGACGCTGAAACGCCCGGCCGGCTTCCACCTGGAGCACTGGCCCCGCCAGAGGGCGGCTCGACCCCTCCCTCCCTCCCGTATCTGGTCAATCCCGTTAGGCAACGAGAAGGGTCCTGTCCCTGTTGGGGTAGCCCCGCCCCCAGGAGATTGCCCCGCCTCGCGTCCGGTCCCCGCTCCCGGCAGGCGCACGAAGAGCCACGGTACCTGCTTCCTCGGCACCCTGGCGCTCCCGAGGGTCCAGCTTAGGAGGTCGGCGCCCGCCTCGGTGGGAGCGTCCGCGGTGTGCCCCCTGTCCTTGGCTCCGCAGTCTGTGGAGGTTCGTGCTCCCGGGCCCTCACCAGGCCCCGCCCCGTCCGCGTTGGCGGAGGGGGCGGTGCCCGAAGAGACCCCGCCCCTAACGTCACGGCCGAGGGGTGGAGCCGGCCCGACGGAAGCGAGGTGCTGCTGGAGAGGCCCGAACAGAGCAGCGGGCGCTCGGGGACTGCTGGTGAGAGACAGGTAGGGCTGTCGTCCTCCGGGCCCACAGCACGATCTGCTGGGCAAAGGGGTCTCTGCTCGGGAAGGGAAACTCAGGTGGCGTACGTCTCCAGGGAAGGGGGTGCTGTAGATACCAGGGGCGCACAGTTGGTGGGGGACCTGTGGATGCAGGCGAGGGCTCTGGAGGCGCGCAGCGGGCAGGGAGGGACCTCTGCGTCCTGATACCCTATTCCCGCCCGCCAGCATGGGCAGCAGCTCGCTGTCCGAGGACTACCGTCTGTGCCTGGAGCGCGAACTTAGGCACGGCCGCGCGGGCGTGTGCGGGGACCCATCGCTACGCGCCGTGCTCTGGCACATCCTGGTGGAAGACTTCGACCTGCATGGGGCGCTGCAGGATGACGCGCTGGCACTACTCACCGATGGTCTGTGGGGCCGCGCCGACCTGGCCCCTGCGCTACGCGGCCTGGCCCGCGCCTTCGAGCTGCTGGAGTTAGCCGCCGTGCACCTGTATCTGCTGCCTTGGAGGAAAGAGTTCACCACCATCAAGGTAGGGCGCCGAGCCGAGTGGGGGCCCCTGCCCAGGCTACTGGGAGTTGGCTACCATCGGGACGGTGGCTACCGTCGGGCCTAAGGGATTTCAGGTGTCCTCAGAGGCTGATAGGTTTCAGAGAGCTCAGTGTGCTGAAGGGTCCTGGGCGTGTTGGAGCATCTCTTGGCCGAGGTTCCCCTTTGTACTCCTGGGGCTGAGAACATGGGGTGGGTGGAGGTCACCCGTTTGGATACCTGCCTTCCGAGGGGGATCCTGGTCCTTAAAGCTTGCATCACTGCCCTCCCCAAAGTAGCCTTGTGGCCCCAGTTACCATAGAAATCCTAGGACAGACACACAGGAAGGACTGGGCATTCCAGGGTCACCCTGATCTCTCCAGGAGAGATTTGTGGCTCCATTTGTGGAAGATGACATGGTTATCCCCTATGAAGTAGGCAGGGGCTGGGGGTGCCCCTGCATGTCCTAGTGGAGCCGGGCTAAACAAGTACCTAGCTCACCCCACAGCCTGGGTAGAGCTGAGCCCAGGGCCGGCCGGGCCCCTCCAGGTGAGCTGCAGGCTGGCAGGAGGGGGCAGGCTGCCTTCTGCTCTGAGCTAATTCAGAAGAGTGGGAAGGTAATGATGTCACTGGGCACGTGGGCGTCCGCCTCCACTGGTTGCCATGGCAGCAGCAGCCTCTCTCAGTGAGGTGAGCCGTGGAGCCCACTGCTCCACTGGGACACCTGCTGTTCTGAGGTTCTAGGACTTTCATTCATCCGTTCAGACGAGGGCAGGATGCAGCCCCATGGGGAGCCAAGAGCAGAACAGACAGGCCTGATCTTGACACGCTCACGGGCTTCAGCACTGGGCAGACCTGGATGGGGTCTGCTTCTGCCGGCTCTGTGGCTTGGGGCAAGTTACCTAATCTTTTGGAATCCATTCCTTCCTCCATGAAGCAAACACGAGGACAGTCTAGCGCAAGGTCCATTGTGAGGGGTGAAAGCCCAGCCCTGAGAACAGTCTTACAGCAGTGCCGCATCTGTGGAGGTACTCTCATCAGCTGTTAGCAAAGGTACACTCACAGGGTCCCAGGATCAAGGAACTGTAGACACGTGAGAGACACGTTATCGCCATCCTAGGGACGCTTCTAGTTCCTTTGCAGCCTGGAGCCTCCAAAAACTACAGATGTTCCATCCGTGTGGTGGAAAGCTGCACAGCTGGAGAAGTGAATGGCTAGGCCTCTGTCGTGTCAGGGAAAGCTCTCAGAAACTGGAAAAGCAGAATTCAGAATGAGGCGTTTAGGAGGCTACCTGCTCAGAGCAAATAAGCACCTGTATTCTTTGTTTGCATGACCACTCAGCAGGTACACGGGAAACTAACTAAAGTAGCAAACCCCCACAGGTGAGAGGAGGTGGAGGGGACCCAGAGGGCAGCGAGATTTCTCAACAGGGCCTCTTTATTTAGTTTGTTCTATGACCCAGGTGAAATGTGTTAGATTAAAAACTTGTGATGCTTGGGCCTGCCTCAGCCAGTGAGATCAGAGTTTCTGGGGGCGGCCCTGAGCATCTAGGGCTTTTTTGTTTTTGGCCGCACAGCCTGCGGGATCTCAGTTCCCCAACCGGGGACTGAACCCAGGCCCCAGCAGTGAAAGTGCCAAATCCTAACCACAAGACCACCAGGGAACTCCCAGCATGTATGTTTTTAAACAGCTCCTCTGGAGGGAGCGTCAGCACATCCCAGACCGCCTTGGGGCCATGCCGCCCCCTGGGGTGAGGATGGTGGCCCCCAAGCAGGGGAGTGCAGCTGAGGCGGGGGCAGGTCTGCGGGAGCGTGGGCTGCCGCCGACCGGCCCCCTCCCTTGCAGACTTTCTCAGGGGGCTACGTGCACGTGCTGAAGGGCGCACTCTCGGAGGACCTCCTCATCCAGAGCTTCCAGAAGATGGGCTATGTGCGCAGGGACGACCACCGCCTTATGGTGGCTGCCCTGCCCCCCGCCCGCCAGCTTGTGCAGGTGGCCCTGGGCTGCTTTGCCCTGCGGCTGGAGTGTGAGATCCTGGGCGAGGTGCTGGCGCAGCTGGGCACCAGCATGCTGCCAGCCGAGGAGCTGCTGCAGGCACGGCGGGCCAGCGCGGATGTGGCCTCCTGCGTGGCCTGGCTGCAGCAGCGACTAGCCCGCGAAGAAGAGCCGCCACCTGTTCCCCCCCGTGGCTCCCCGGCCCGGTGCCAGGCCCGGCTGGACCTGTACCGGGACCTGCAGGAGGATGAGGGCTCAGATGAGACCAGCCTATACGGGGGACCCTCGCCAGGCCCCGACTCACCCCCCTCGGAGCTAGCCTGCCAGCCTCTGTTCTGGGAGCAGAGCGCCAGACTGTGGGGCGTGGGGGGCGGGGCCTGGGAGGCTGAGGCCAGCAGCCCGGCCTCGGAGGAGGAGCCCGAGGCCGAGGCCTTCTCCCTCCTCTCACTGCGCCAAGAGCTGCTCAGTCGGCCCGGAGACCTGGCCGCCCCCCAAGCCCCTGGAGCCCCTGAGCAGGCCAGCCCCCCACGAGTCCCCGAGCCCCCCGGCTACCAGACACACAGCTGCCTGGGCCCTGGCGCCCTCCCCACCCTCTGCTGTGACACGTGTCGCCAGCTGCACACTTCCCACTGTGCCACCCTGGCCACCTGCCGCCCGGGCCACCCTTTGCGCGCCCTGCACGGAAACCACCAGCGGCGCCTGTGGCTGCAGCGAGCCCAGGTGGACACCTTGCTCTACGATGCCCCTAGGCCCGCCTGGCCCTAGGCCCAGGGCTTTCTGGAGACATGTTCCGTGGTGCTTTTCTGGGCCTCATCCCTCCTCAGACCCGGGCCACTGGCCACCCTGCCCCTCCTGCCCCCCAGGGGTGCTGAGCACAGTGGCAGGTCGGGGGGCATGGAGACTCAACCCCGCTACGTGAGAGGTGGGGGCCGTCTTCCTCGGAAAGCTGCCGGCCCGCCCCCAGGGAGCACCCTCTCCCTCCTCTCCCACCCCTCCCCGGCCCCACCACTGGCCCCAGCGCCGCAGCTCCTGACCTGCTCCCTGCAAGTGCCCAAAGGGGTGCTCCACAGAGGAGTGTCCTTGGGGGCTCAGGTGACCTCATGAGCCCCGGAGCTTTGCTAAGACCATTCTAGGGGCTCTGCCAGGTGCATGGCTGACCCGGCTGAGGGGACCTGGTCCCCCATGGGTGTCACAGACCAGCACTGAATGAGCTGAGTGCTGGCCTGAGACCAGCCCCATGGGCTCCAGTCAGAGCTGGGCGGGGAAGCTGGACCCAAGGACAGAAGAGAAATGATCTAGTCTCCAGCCAGAGTGAGTGCCCAAGAGTTCCAGAGAACAGCAGGCGGGAGACGGGGAGCCACGGAGCCCGAGAGGCTGTCACCCCACTTCCGGGTGGAGCGTGGGGGCTTCTGAGCAATCAGTACCCCAGCAGCCTCCCTGCTCCATCTTCCTGCTGTCCGGCTTCGGCAGGCAGGGTGAGGGATCTCCAAGGCTCCCACCCCAGAGCCCACCTGGGTCCCGTGGTGAAGATGCACCAGCTGCCAGCCGCCAGCCCGCTCACAGGGCTGGAGGGGGTGGGTCTGCCCACCTGGGCCTGGGGTGGGGCCAGTCTTGTGTGTGGCCCCTCCCCCCACACCTGTCTGTCACGCGAATCACAACCTCAAAGTACATTAAAGGACGCTGGATCCAGCTGTGTCTGTGAGGAAAGCGTTTATCTCTCCGAGGCCCAACCATGTCCCTCCCCAGGAGCCTCAGTGGGGAGTGGGCACAGGGCACAGCCCCCAATCCAGGGGCTGTCCCTCTGGTGGGCTCAGAGCTGCCCAGACTCTAGTCCACCAAGCTGGCGGCACCCCACACCCCACCCCTCCTTCCCACTCTGAGTCCTGCAGCCCCAGCGGGGGGGGGTCACTGTAGCCTCTCCCTTCCTAGGCCGACCTTGGGGATCAAGTGGGGACAAAAGTGACCACGTGGTGACCAAGCCAGAGACACCTCCTGAGATGTCTCTCCTGGGAAGTGAGGGTCTGAGGGCTTGGCAATAGGTGGACCCAGCCCAGCCACCAGATGGCAGAGCCATGAGATGACAGAGCCACCAGGTGGCGCCCGGCAGGGTGTCTGGGCCTGCAGGACGCACCCACCGGCATCCCCCATGTCCACACGCTGCCGTTCTGGGGCAGCGGTGGGCAGAGGTGCAGGAAGCGGTGCAGTCAGCTGGAGCAGCTGGTCGGTCCTGGCCGAGGGACAGGCCGGGCCGCAGGGGCCCCCGCCCTCAGGGCTTGCAGCGCCGGCTCTGGCTCTCAGCGCCTGAGGATGTGGCCGGGGCAGCACGCTTGTTGCGGTGGTGGGGGAAAGTGGGCATGAGCTCCGGCTCGCAGGCTGCAGGGAGGGGGCTGCTCAGCGCCGGGTGGGGAGGGCCCCCCACGCCTCCCTCTGCTCCCCTCCTGGCCCTGCACACGGTTCCTGCGGCACGAGCAGCCCGTGCCTGCTCGGGCCCCACTGCCCACCTGCCCAACAGCGGCCCCGGCCCGGACAGGGACCCCCAGCCAAGCGCCGGCCAGGGGGTGGGGGAGACTCACGCAGGGGCTTCTCCTTGAAGTAGGAGCTCTCCAGGCAGTCACCGGCCGTCGCCCTGGAGAGAAGGCCTTGCCGTTCATGGGGCCTGGCCCATCTCCCTCACACCTGCCCCGCACGGCAGACAGCTGGGTGGCAGGTAGGGACCGGGGGCCCAGAAACCGACAGGAGCCTCAGAAAGGGCTTCATGACCTGGGCGGGCAGAGGCCCAGGCCTCACAGGCATGTCTGGGAGGGGCCCTCTCAGTCACGGCGCCCCTGCCCGCCCACAGGCCGGGTCAGCACCTTTTCTTGGGGTCGTACATGAAGAGAAGGTTCAGCAGGCGCAGGCCGGCCTCCGAGAGCCACGGGAACTTGTGCTTCAGGTTGTTGTAGGGCTGCTTCCTCAGACTGTACTGGCTCACCAGTGGCAGCTGGGAGAAGCCCTGTGTGGGGGAGGGGGAGTGGCAGCTGCAGGCTGGCGGCCGGCAGGGGGCAGGAGAGGGGAGGGCAGGGCCGGCACTCACCGGCCAGATGTTCTCACTGGGTGTCCCCAGCAGCTGTACGATCAGGTCCACCTGGTGGATCTCGGAAGCGCCGGGCAGAAGGGGCTTATGGGCCAGCAGCTCGGCCAGGATGCAGCCCACGGCCCTGCAGGGGAGCACGGGGCCTCGCCTCAGCTCCTCCGGCCCCGCAGAGCACCACTCCGCCGGGCCCCGGCCCCCGGGCGCTGGGGTCAGAGGACGGGGGCAGAGCTGGGAGGAGGCCACGACGGGAAGGCAGGTGACCACTGGGTTCTCCCCCCGGGCCACGTGAGCTGGCACCAGCAGGCCTCTCTGAGTGGCCACAAGGGCGGGTCCTCAGTGATGGGGGCCGTGAACGCCGAAGCCGTCTTACACTGCCTCTCGGGACCCCAGGCGCAGGCCCACCTTCCTGGGAGTTGGGAGGCTGGCGAGACCCCAGCCCCACTCCTGCCCCGCCAGCTCCCACAAGACCACCCCGCCCTGCCCAAGGCCCTGGGTGCATCCACCCCTCACCACATGTCGATGCTGGTGGTCTGCGTGGTGGTCCCCAGCAGCAGTTCAGGGGCTCGGTACCTGCGAACAGGAGCCCCCACCTTGGGTCTGGCAGTTCCTCTCCTCTGGCCCGGCCTCCACGAGGCACCGTGGCTCTGCACCAGCCTACCCACCGGCCACCACTGGCCCTGAGAGCCAGAGTCAGCCTGGACGATGGAGCATGAAGCCCAGCTCGGCTGTCCCTTCCACTAAACCCGACAAACACAGCACATGAGGCAGCAGCTGCTGTCACTGGATGGCTCCCGCGTGCAGCAGTGTCCTGTGCTGGCCTGTTCTACACAGGTCGGGGCTGAGTGACACACGGCAGAAAGCATCCTGCCCTAAAGCACAACCCCGTTCTTCAAAATGTCGAGTGAGAAATAATTACAGAGGACATGCACTGTTCTGTCCTCCCGTCGGTGGAGACACCGCCCCTTCCGAGCAGCTCAGAGCAGCACCCCGTCTGGACGGGGCAGGTCCTTCCCGGTGGCAGCCCTGCTCGGCCTCAGGAGCCATCCACACGCAGCCTCTGAGTGTGTGCAGCCCACAGCCTAAAATCCTCCCAGGTCCTTGAGCAGCTTCAGCGTGACCCCCCCCCACTTCCCATGGTCCCCAGGGACTCACCAGAGGGTGACCACCTTGGGGGTCATTGGCTTCAGCGGGATGCCATAGGCCCGGGCCAGGCCGAAATCCGCTGGACAGACGGGAGGGAGAGTGTCACCCAGTGAAGACTGTCCACTGACGTTTGCAACCAGCTTGTAGCGTGCAGGGTGCTTATCGGGACCGGCCTGCCGCCCCGTCGAGGTGGCGCTCATGGAGGCCCCCACCAAAGAGCCAGCACCTGCACCCACCTGTCTTCACGCAGCCCTTATCCGTCATGAGCAAGTTGGAGACCTTCAGATCCCTGTGACAAAAAGAGAACACCAGTGCTTCCCGGGAAACTGCGTGGGGAAAGAGGCTGTCACCGTCGCAGTGACGCTTAGAACATTTCCCCATACGTCTCCTCCTGTCCGTCGCAGTGACACTTAGAACATTTCCCCATACGTCTCCTCCTGTTTGCACTTTTTTTTTTTTTTTTCCGGTACGCGGGCCTCTCACTGTTGTGGCCTCTCCCGTTGCGGAGCACAGGCTCCGGACACGCAGGCTCAGCGGCCATGGCTCAGGGGCCCAGCCGCTCCACTGCATGTGGGATCTTCCCGGACCGGGGCACGAACCCGTGTCCCCTGCATCGGCAGGCGGACTCTCAACCACTGCGCCACCAAGGAAGCCCCTGTTTGCACTTTTTAATTTTTTTTATGTGGACCATTTTTAAAGTCTTCACTGAATTTGTTACAATATTGCTTCTGGGTTTTTTGGGGTTTTTTTTTTGCGGTACGCGGGCCTCTCACTGCTGTGGCCTCTCCCATTGCGGAGCACAGGCTCCGGACGCACAGGCTCAGCGGCCATGGCTCATGGGCCCAGCTGCTCCGCGGCATGTGGGATCTTCCCGCACCGGGGCACAAACCCACATCCCCTGCATCGGCAGGCGGACCCCCAACCACTGCACCACCAGGGAAGCCCTACTGCTTCTTTTTTATGCTTTGGATTTTCTGGCCGCGAGGCATGTGGGATCTTAGCTCCCCGACCAGCGATCGAACCCGCACCTCCTGCATTGGAAGGCAAAGTCTAAACCACTGGACCGCCATGAAGTCCCTGCACTTCTTAAAAATAAGGAGGGCAGGCAGTGCAAGGCGATTTGGCAGCTGGGAACACCAGAGAGAGCTCTCAGTAACTTTCTGAGAAACTGGCAGAGGCGGCCTTGAGCCCAGGTCTGACTTCCAGGGCTGTGTCTGATCCCCACCCAGGCCATGCGAGCCACCGAGGGCACACGGAACTGCTGCCTGCAAGGTCCTGCCCAGGCCTGCAAGACCCTCCCCTCTGCCCCTCCAGTCTCTGCCCTTCCTGGCCTGCCTTCCAGTAAGGCTCTCTCCAAGGCAGCACTTCTCAGAGCCTGACTCGCTCACACCATCGGCCCCCCAGAGGAGAAAACAGGTATTATCTGCTCTTGGACCATCCACCAGGAGCAGTCACAGAACCTCTACTGCATCGAGGCTGTGCCTGCTCCTCTCCTGGATACTGGGCAACATCAACTGGCACTGGGTCAGTACTGGCAGTCACACTTCCCCCATGTCACAAACCAGCACTCCTCTGGAAAAATGTTTCCTGAGGCCCCGCCCCCTTCCAGGCCCGTGGACCCCACCCACCTGTGGATGATGAAGTTCCGGTGCAAGTACTGGAGGCCCCGGAGCACCTGCAGCACGATGCACTTGACCTGTAGAGGGCCAGGATGCAGGGTCAGGGCAGCCTGCGTCTGCCACAGTGCGCCGAGCAAGGACGTGGGAAGCCCGCCACCAGAGCCCGCAGCCTCAAACCTGCGCCTCAGAGAAGGGTGTCGGCATGTTCTCCAGAAGGCTGGCCAGGTCCTGCTCACAGTAACCCATCACCAGGAAGATGCTGAAAAGAAGAGGGAGAAACGCAGGCCACCTCCCACCTCCTCCCAAGTGGGCCAAGGGACCCTCCTGGGGCAGCAGGAAGGGCAAGAGGGAGGGGCGGGCAGGACCCAATGCGGGGGCAGCAAGCGGCCCACTCACCTCTCCAGGTGGTTCCCCACAACCACCTCCTTCAGCTCCACGATGTTCGGATGGCGGAGGCGAAGGAGAAGCGTGATCTCTCGAAGGCTGCTGATGGGGACCCCTGCAACCCAGCGCGGCCTCAGCGAGCCCACCCCTGCAGTCAGGACCCCCTGACAGCCTCTGGGACCGCCCCCTGCAGACAGGGACCCCTGACAGCCTCTGTGCCCCCCCCCCCCGCAGACAGGGACCCCTGACAGCCTCTGTGACGCTCCCCTGCACACAGGGACCCCTGACAGCCAGCTACTCAGTGAGCCCCCAACCCCTGTCTACATCCCCTCTCAGGGACCCCCATGCCCGCCGCTGTCAGGGCTCTGCCTGCTACTTCAGGGAGAAGCAAGGCCATCCTAACCAGCACCTTTAACTCTTCCCTCCTGCATCAAATGCAAGCAGCACTCTGTACTGACCCCTGTGCATGGCAGGTGGCCCCCAGTGCGCCCAGCACAGCCCTGCCTGCACAGGCAGCCACGGGGCTGTCGGCAGGGCGGCGTGGAGCACACAGGTGCTGCCGGCTCAGTCTTGGGTGGGAAAGCCCTGTGGAGGGGTGACGCTGAGCTGAGACAGAAGATGAGGCAGTCACCCAATGGGAGGGTGAAGGGGATGAACCGCACAGGGCTTAGGGGGGCTGAGGCCTAGACTGTGGCAGGGGCCAGGCTGCAGCCCCCAGAGATAAGCCTCCTTTGACCATCATGCAGACACCCTTGGGAAAGCAGGCGCGACTCGGGGGCGGGCCTCAGGCAACTCACACCTTCCTCCCCCTCCCACGTGAGCTCAGAGTGGTCCGGCGGCCCCTGCGCTCACCATCCTTCTCCTTGTCCATCCGCACTTTCTTCAGGGCAACAATCTCATCCGTTTGGGTATCCCGGGCCCTGTCTGCAATGGAAACTCCTCCAGGATAGGCTCCAAGCCCGACCCCACCGTGTGGCCTCCGGCCCCACAGGGGCTCCCTTCTTTTCCCCCTTGACTGCTGGGTACCCTGTGGCAGCCCGTCCACACTCCTCGCAAGCAGCACCCGACCCTGCGAGATGCGCTCCCTGGGGAGTCCTCTGGCTTGAGCTGGTACAGGGCCCCTGGTTGTGAGAAGCTCCCTGTAGGTTTTCCTTCTTAGAGCTGGTATGCAGATCACCGCTTTGTGCTCTGCGGTTACTATGTTCTAACAGCAAATAAGGTAGCTTATCTTGAAAAAGGAACTCTTATTTTGTCAAAGCTGGCTCCCCAAAGCACTGTGCTAAACTGTGCATCTTCCAAACCCGCAGCAGTTTGACGCACACCAACGTCCCAGCTGCTGTGGACGCAGCTCTGGCTGTAACAGCTACCTCTACTCACGGGTACACGTTAGCAACCTGATGCTTGTGTTTATTCAGGAGTGGTGTGAAATCTATGGCAATTACACCAGGGATTAGAGGTCACCTGTCCCCTCCTTCCAGCCCCGCCACAGCTACTGCTGGGACAGTCCCTGGGCGCCCAGGCCTCCCACCGTGGCCACTCACACACAATGCCGTAGGTGCCTTCCCCAATGCGGTTCAGCTTCTCAAACTCCTTCACGCTCCGGCACCGTCCCAGCTGAAAGAGAGAGATGCTGGCGGTGAGGGGATCCGGCAGCTAATGGCACCAGAGATGGATATGGACACGCAATTGGTACCAAAAAGCCAGCTTGTGTCCTGCTCACCAAACAGAAAGGTCACCACACACCTGGGTTTGCAGGTGAGAAAATGGGGTGATGATGCTGGCCTCTTTGAATGTGATATCAAAGACGGTCTAACCACTCCCTTTCAATTCCATGGTCCAGATGTGTGCTGCCCAAAAGGAGGAACCGCCAGCCACATTTGGTTAAAATTAACTAAAATGAAAGTAGAAGTCCATTTCTTCAGCTGCATAAGCCATGTGAAGCGCTCGATGGCCCCACGCAGCTGTGGTGACCATCCTGGACGATTCAGAAAACAGAACATTTCCACCATCACAGAAAGTCCCCTGAACAGCACCGCTCTAAATTATGCTCTGGGGTTTTCTCCGGCAGTCCACTGGATAGAACTGCGCACTCTCAGTGCCGAGGGCCTGGATTCAATCCCTGACTGGGGGAACTGAAATCCCACAAGCTGCAGGGAGAGGCCATAAATAAAGAAAGAAAGAAACAAGCAAGCTCTGGACGTGGAAAAAGCTTGAAGAACTTCTCAAAGCATCTACCAAGCACAGTGGAAACACTTCTGCGGCAAAAACTGTCTCAGTCATCCACACGTTACTTCTTCCTTTGGGTTATGAAACTGCCCAGGGGCACATAGCCACCCAGCTGGTGGCCACAGTTCCCAGCCTCCCTTGCAGCTGGGTGTGACCATGTGACTAAATCCTGGCCAATGGGATGCGGGCAGAAGGGACAAGTGCAACTTTTTGATCAAAGGGGGCTGCTTGCTGCTCACGCCTTCCTGCCCCTTGAGGCAGGCTGGGATTTGGGTGGGGCACAGGTGAAGCAAAGAGAAAACCTGAGTGCCTGGCCCACCTGTGAGGCGTTAGGGGAGCCAGAAGTAAAGTCCTGTACTTACGCCACTGTATTTTGGGGTCTCCATATTCTAGCAGAGAGCCTGTACCCTAATACACCGTCAGTTGTAGCAGAATCAATGAGCACCTCCCCTTGGGTCGGAGAAGCACGTGCGGCAAGGTTCAAGTTCTAAGAGACCTTCTTTGGACTCCCTGCCTCTATGTATCTTGCCCGCCATCCTGGGGAACGGAGTCAGAGTCACCTGGCCTGTACTGAAGCCCTTCCACGGTTTCAGCTCAACCTAGTTGTCCTCTCTCTCCCGTGACCCCCTGGTGCTTCTTGTGCGCTGTGCTTCGCGGGACTTTGCTCCTGCTGCTGCCCAGGACTGGCAAGAACCCTCCTCGTCTCTGCGTGTCCAAAACGCACTCACACTTACCCGCCCAGCAGAAATGCTACCGCTTTGCAAAACTGCTTCCTGGCTCCCAGCTGAAAGCATTCTTTCTCTGAAAAATCCCGACACTTTCGTCTCACAGCACCTACTATTGTGCACTGTCCTCGTCCGGGTATGTCTTAACTCCCCACTGAGAGCAGCTGCTGCGTGTCTCGGTGATGAACGACGGCGGCGGACGGCTCAAGGGGGGGTCCTGCGCTCACTCAGCCAGTATGTTAGGATCCTTACTGGGCACTGAGGCGGCCTCTCAGAGCACCAGCAAGTGTTTAAAACAATCCGCCGCCAGGGTTCACACCTGCCCCTGCACGAGCCGTCTACCTTGGAGAAACCACCCAACGCCCCTAAGCTTCACCCTCCTCACCTCTACAAAGGGTCCCCGAAAAGACTATGTGACAGTTACACACGCAGAGGCCCCACACGGAGCAAGGCACGAACGAAGCTGCCGGGTCACAGGTGGGGCCCCGCGCGCGGTGCACCCACAGCCCGGTGGGAGACACGCCTCCAACTCTTCCCATGGCTACTGTCTCCAGACACAAGGCGCCCGTCCCCGGCACAAAGCTAAGAAACGCCCGCGCTGCAGCGCGCTCTGGCCTAGGCGGCCGGAGGCCAGAGAGCCGGCCCTTCCCTCGCGCGGGCGTCACACGCCCCGGGGTCTGCGGACCGGCCGGGATCGGAGTCCCGGGCGGCCGCCGCCAGCTTCCGCGCCTGTCGCGAGGAGCTCTGGGACTGTCGTTCCCGCTCTCGCCGGAAACCTGGCGCTTTAGCGCGACACTGAGGGCCCCAGTGCGTTTCGGCTCCGCCCTGCCGCCGGCGAGGACACATCTACCCTGAGCAGCCCGTCGTCGCACCCTGTGCTCTGGAGGCACCGTGAAGAAGCCTTCCTTACGGATACACTTCAGACGGATCTGTTCCGGCTCCGGCTCCGGCTCCCCCATGCCGAGCTCAGCCCCACCCCACCCACCCCCCACTTCCCATGTGCGCAGGCGCAGACGGGTATTCCTCGGAGCAAGCGCATGGCCTACTTCCGGGGCGTCCCCTCCTCAGCAACGGTTACCAAGGAAACCTCCCGAAGACCCGACCCCACCCACGAGGACCTCAACTCCTACGATGCACTCGAACTACCAAGGTTCTAGCTTTACTTTAGTTTTTTTTTTGTTTGTTTGTTTGTTTTGCGGTACGCGGGCCTCTCACTGTTGTGGCCTCTCCCGTTGCGGAGCACAGGCTCCGGACGCGCAGGCTCAGCGGCCATGGCTCACGGGCCCAGCCGCACCGCGGCATGTGGGATCTTCCCGGACCGGGGCACGAACCCGCGTCCCCCGCATCGGCAGGCGGACTCTCAACCACTGCGCCACCAGGGAGGCCCTACTTTAGTTTTAAGTGCGGGCACGTGACCGCGCTGGGGTGCTGAGTAACGGCCGCCGGAGGAGGAGGCCGAAGTCCGGGGGGCTGCAGTGGGCTGGGGGGTGGCTGCGGGGGCCGTGGCGGCCGCGGGGCCGCGGGAGCTGTGCTGTAGAGCTCTCCCTTGGATACTGGAGGGCTGCCCTGGAGCCAGGGAGGGAGGAGGCTCGGGCAGGGCCAGTGGGGACCGAGAGCAGAGGGCGCGTCCGAGAGCTGTGTAAAGAACTGACAGGACGCGGCGACGGAGGGACTGTGGGACCAAAGGGTCACCTAACACATCCGTGTTGAGCACACAGTACGTGCTCGGCCCTGTCAGGCTCTGCCCTGGCGGACCTTACATTCTAACTGGAGGCGGTAAACAAGGTAAGTAAAGCAGACGGCGTGCTAAGGAGAAAAACGAGGCAGGGCAGTGAGTGGCCCGTGTAGGAGGAGGGGTGCAGCTTCTCCTGTCACGGGGACTATACTGTAAATGCTAAAATGATGCGAATGTAAGTTCAGGGCGTTTGATAATTATGAAATTAAATAATCATGAGTCAAAAGTATTTAAACTAATTACCACATTCAGTTCATTCTGGTGGTTTTTGAATTCTGATAAGCTAAGCTCACGGCTAATAATGAGATTAGAATGAATGCCATGGTAAGTACAGTTTGGGGATTATTTGTTTGAGATGCTCAGGGCAGGGGTAGGAGAAGGTCAGTTTCTAGGTCATATAATAGAAATGGAACAGCTACTAGAAACTTTATAGAGAAGGCGAGGCATGCTGACCCAATGGGTTCAAATTCACCTTTGTATGGGCTTGATTTTTCTGTATAAATATTTAGTCATGGCAGTCAGGATACATAAATAAACATACTAAATAAATACAAATAAGGATGTTGATAATGTTAGTAAACAATGTCAAGATGAGATTTCTTTTTTCTTGGGTTATACCAAAACTTATGGATTGAAAGTCACTTGTACTGTTTACTACTAAAGAATATGACCCTCATCAATAGACAGACCATGTGTACGGCCTGCTGATCGTTCCAGGAACGAAGGAAGCTGACATACACTGTCATCAGACTAAACGTTTGCGCTCGGACGGGCAGGGCACTCTCTCCAGCCACCTCGGAGGAGAATGGACTCTGACCCAAGGGCTGCCGGTGAGGATGGACAGCTGAGGCTGGGGGTCCCCTGAACAGCCCCTCCCCACCAGGAGCCCTCAAACACAGCCAGAAAGAGGGGAAGTTGTCAGTTCAACTCACCTTCTCCCAGGGCGCTCTGACAAAGCCACTTCCACAGTTCTAAGTGCCATGGCTGCCACCACTCCTGCATCCACATTCTTCTTCTGGATCCTGTAATACCTTGCATCCCTAATACTCAAGCTAGGAGCCCTTGGACCCTCCAAGGTGACTGTGCACTTCCCTGTTCTGGGACCTAACCACCTTAAGGTTTCATCCTCAGAGTCCGACCTTTTGTTCAAGGGTGGGGGACACCTCCTCCACTGTAACTGCTGAGTGCTTACACCACGCTCCTTCAGAAGCGAACAGGAAGGGTTCTAATGCGCATCCAGAGTCAGCAAGAGATGCTGCCTGCTACCAGTTCATCACTCTGCACAGCCAGACAGCTCCGACAGGGTCATCTCTTCGCCGATGACCCCAGAGTCACTCTTGCCCTCTGCCAAGCTGCCTGCGGCTTTGGAGAAGCTGGGGAGAGCCTTGTTTACTGAAGGGGCACCTGCAGCCCTTTGCCATCACCTCTGAGACTCAGAGCACAGGGAGTGACTGCAGCTACTGGGGTGCCTGTTTATTCTTCGGTCTGTGAATTATAGGCGTCTACCGTACTGGGGTTCCTGTGTCGGTAGAAGGGGCCCGGTTCAGCCCTTTCCCGAATGGTCCTCTGCTCTTCCATTCCTGTGGAACCGTAGCTGATCAGAGTCTCTTTTGAGGCTGTGGTGATGACAATCCGGGGGATGGCAAATTTCTTCTCTTCTGAATTTACATCAGGTTTCTCTAGAGGGAAGGAAACATCCGGGTATTTCATAAGTCTGTGGAAAAACTCTTCTGTAAAACAGACAATGTCTGTGTTAGGGCCAGAGCAAAGGAATTAGGTTCGTGGCTCAGGAAAAGAAATGGGTGAGGTTGAAAGCAGTCAAAACCGTGAGTGAACATTCCAAAGCTTACACCAACCGGCAACGCAGCCACGCAGTGGTGACCCTAGAGGCCTCCTTCCAGGAGGGGAACGGACAGACACCCGCACCATCCCCGTGGAAAGCCTGAGCTGCCGGGCAGCCAGGGTGACAGACGCAGGAGCGAGACCTGGGAAAGGCAGGGTCTGCCCCAGAGGCGAAGGTTCAGACACACAGTGTGCAAAGGATTCTCTGCACAGAGCTTTATCAGGCAGGGCACTCTAGAAATGGACGCCACAGCGTTTTCTCAAACTTGTCAGGATTACCAGGAACACACGGGACGTGTGAAACGTTACAAAGTACAAAAGCAGAAGCCCCTTCACTGCCTCCACCGCCTCACTTCCCGGCCTGCTCCCTCCGTTCAGGCCTGTGTGTCCCCGTGTGCACACACGTGTACTGCACAGAATTAGAACACTGAACACCCCAGGAACTCAGCTATACGGGGGATGAGCAGGTGCCCGTCCCGTGCTAGGCGTTGCTCTGAGCCCTAGAATAACCACCGCACGTTTCTGAGGTAGGTCCTCTTAAGACCTACGTTTTACAGACGGAGGGACTGAGGCACAGAGGGTGGGTTCAGTCCCATGCCCAGGGCTGGTGGGAGAGGGAGACGCCGGGTCCCAGGCAGTCGGGTCCAGAGCCACCTCGACCTTCAGCGCTGCAAGCATGGCTTCATTCGTTCTAACCCGCTGCCGATGGCCCACGGCCTGCACTGAGCACTGACAGTATCCTTTCTTTTCATTTTTATCATTAAGCCAAATGTGCATTTCATCGTATTTTGGATTTAATTTATTTTTTTAAATTTATTTATTTAATTTATTTTTTGCCGTGTTGGGTCTTTGTTGCTGCACGCGGGCTTTCTCTAGTTGTGGTGAGCAGGGGCTACTCTTCGTTGCGGTGCATGGGCTTCCCATTGCGGTGGCTTCTCTTGTTGCGGAGCACGGGCTCTAGGCATGCAGGCTTCAGTAGTTGTGGCACAGGGGCTCAGTAGTTGTGGCACACGGGCTGTAGAACACAGGCTCAGTAGTTGTGGCTCATGGGCTTAGTTGCTCCGTGGCACGTGGGATCTTCCCAGACCAGGATTTGAACCTGCGTCCCCTGCGTTGGCAGGCGGATTCTTAACCACTGTGCCACCAGGGAAGTCCCTTTTGAATTTAACTTAAATTGAGATCATTTTTTCATGTTGATTTACACAAGCATTTTTATATGTTAAGACTACTTAAAAGGTTATGAATATTTAATTTAAAAATAATACATGTTGGTTAAATGGGGGAAAGTGATGGGGGTGGGATGGACTAGGAGACTGGGATTGACATATATACACTAATATGCATAAAATAGATAACTAATAAGAACGTGCTGTATAAAAAATAAAGTTAAAAAAATAATTTAAAAATAATACATGTTGGTTAGAGACTGCACATGGAATGACGCTTCTCCTTGCGGACACTTCATACGCACACGCCTATGTGCAGCTGGGATCACGCTGTGCAAGGCTGAGTGTTGCAGTGACCACGCAGTAGGCTGAGCCCCACATCCACACAGGTGCGGCCCCTCCTCCACGGCAGCCTGCAGTTCACTGTCGGAGGCCCATCATGTGCGTAACCAGCTCCCTTTGATGGACATAATTTAGGTCATTTCCAATTTTCTTCTTTGGACAATGCTGCAATGAACATTCCTGCATTTATGTATTTATACACTTGTGGAGCTTTATCTGTCAGGTAAGTTACTAGGAAAATTTTGGCAAATATTGTCAAACTGTTTTCCATAACGATT